TGTAAATTTCGGACTATCCTCATCATCCCTATCAGTACTAATGCATAATCTGTTTAGTTACAACTTCTCGTATGATTTTTCGATACAGAAATTCCAATTGTCTTAGGTCAGTTTTCGCGGATTTTATGACGATTTCAATCCTGACTATATTAGCTAACTGACAGAACTTCAACAGTCGATTTGCTTCTTTGTCGAAATTTGATTCAAATGATCCTCTCAGAATGGAAGCTCAACCCTTATGAGCATTCTGCAACCCCATTAGGATTTGTTTTTTGCCGGATTTTTTACGTGAACTAGGGCTGAGCGTACTGTTAGTATATGTCTTGCGATCTTACTGGAACAGCGTATTTTCATAAATGCACCAAAAATATCAAGAATATCAGGGCCGCTGAGTTATCAGTATCATATCCCATGTTCTGGGTAGCTCCCGAATACCCGGCACAATTATCCCAGGCTTTTTGTTCTTAGACTGTGTATCTCCAGTCAGTACCCGTCGCGTTTTTGAAACATATGTACTGTTTATTCGGAAACCGTGCGACTAGTGTTTTATTTTTCTTCAGACACCACTCGTTAATTCGATTGGATTTTAAATCAAGGATTTATTGCATTTTTTTTCCAACAAAAAGTTGCACTTGAAGTGCACTATAATTTTATTTCAAAAAATGCATTAAAGTGTGTGCAGCGCACCGAATGCAAACATTTCTTGTCCTCGCACTGAGCTAAAATTGATATTTTATTAATTAAAATTGACATAAAATCACATTACAACAACAGCCCTTTCGCGATATCTGCTTCGCTATTATTGCAACTGTGATCACTGTGCTATCACTGTTATCACGATTCTTTACAGACGGCCCTTTTTTATGCCACGTGAACCACTGCTGCCCAATGGACTGCGTGAGCCTTTCGTTTCACCGCTAGAGGAGCCACCGCTGCTTGGCGGGGCGCGTGGGCCTTTCGTTCCACCTTTAGACCAGCCTCCACTCCTAGTCGGATTTTCTGGCTTCCATGGTTTGAGCGGAGTAAGTGTGTATCCTGGCGGATCTCGTTGTGCAGCGACGAGTAAACAGAACATGGAAAACAGTATTAGTATCATCCTGCACTTGGCAACGACCTGTAGTTTAAAATATGGCTGAAAATTAAAAAGAAAAAAAGTGAAGAAAATGCCAGGAAAAAGAGTTTCTGCAACTTTGTATTTGAAATTTCGCTACAAAAATTGCCTGAACATGCAGTAGCAATAGGTCGTCATCAATGTAGCGCTTGGCCGGTAAAAATCATCACCGTGACAGTTTCCAATTCAAATTTATAAAAATAGCTCCATAAGATTGACTCTATTACTCCCCTTGATCACTCATGCAACCACTGCGCTATAGCAAGCATGACTGCAAACCCAAATGTTCAGCATTTCTGCCAATTCCCGTTGAGGAATGCCTTAAGTTTTATCGGCACTTGGAGCTATACCTTGCAGTATTGTTGGAA